CTCATTCTAGTGTCCTCATACCACGAAGAAAAGTTGGGCATCCATGTTGTTGTTTTTTTTTTTTCCCCTCTCTCCGTGGAAGAAAACAAAGAAATATAATGGCTAGCCAATGGTCTAGCCAATGACAAGGTAGAGGATGGGTAATGGCTATGTATCTGCTAATGACAGAGGCTCGAGTACCTCCAGATAATAAGCAATCAACGACAACCACAACAGGAAAAGTACAACCACGAGCGATTGAAAAACGGTATACTGGACGGAAAAAGGTAGAGGGGTAGATGGTGGTTGTACTGCTGCTTATGCTAGAACCTTTGCGTTGTATGCACAATATAAAAAAAACAACTGATTAAGCCATTGGAGAGGGGTGCACTGAACGATTAGGGTAGGGGGGTAGATGGTGGTCGTACGCTTATTCGCAGCCTTAAGGCTGCAGTATATTGGGCTTTCGCGTCTGTGTCAAGGTGTTGCATTTTTGGCGGCGGGCGACCACGGCGCAAAGTGTGTTTTTAGGGGGTAAGAAAATTTGAGGGACCAGTCTTTGCCAAAATTGTGGACTACCGACAGTTAGCTCTAGTAGAACCGAGACTTTTGGAAAAAGGAAGGACCGGTCATCGGGTGGAAGTGGACCCCAAAAAGAAGTGGGGGGCGTTGGACCGGTCCTCAGGTAGAAGCGGACCCCAAAAAGAAGTGAGGGCATGTGAACTGCAAAAGGGCCCTCAAACCTAGGCGTTGAGGCTCGTCTTCTCAAAACATGGAGGTCAGGCACAATGAAACAGACGTTTTGCAAGATGCAACTTTGACGATTTTCAGTGCTCGAACAAACCCGCAGAAAAATCTGAAATTTTGAAAGATGAGGTCGTTTTCTTTCCAGGAATATTATTATAACATTTTCAAAAAATCATTTAGATTGCGAAATAATCGTTGCGCCGATTCGACACATTTTCTATTTTTGCCACTTAGCCATGTGTGGGCCAACTAAAAAAATACTCCAAATTCAACGAGTTTTCGTGCTCAGAAGAATGCGTGAAAAAACCTGAAAATTGGAGTACTTGTAGATTTTATTGTGATATTTCCAGAAAAAATGCTTAAAAAAAAAATAAAAAAAAATTCCAACTGTGAAATAGATCGTGGTCGCAATTCGACCCATATTTCAATTTTGCCATTCAACATCTCTCTCTCCCTCTCTCTCTCTCTCTCTCTCTCTCTTTCTCTCTCTCTCTCTCTCTGTGTGGTATCGCCCCCCCTCCCTCTCTCTCTTTGTGGTAGCGCCCCCCCTCCCTCTCTCTCTATCTCTCTTTCTTTTCTCTCTCTCTCTCTCTCTCTCTCTTTCACTCATATCAACAAATGAAACAAAACTCTCTCTCTCTCTCTCTCTCTCTCTCTCTCTCTCTCTCTCTCTCTCTCTCTCTCTCGTGTGCGGTCTTAGTCTCATTGCTTCGGCTACCTAAGGGCTGCGCTCCCCGCGCGCACGCAGTAGACAATAAGTGTGGGGGGTCTACCTATGGGGCATGTGAAAAGCTTGCTTACCCCTAGCACGCGAAGTACCCGTCTGACAGGGATCATTTGGGCATGCTTCAACCAGGGCTGACGGGGGTTTGTGCTCAGCCCTCAGGTCACCCCGCCCAAATGGTAGAAGGCTGATAGCCCTCAGTGGTAGCACTTAAGGCTGGGGGAGTGGGGGTCCGCCAATTGACGAGAGAGAGGGTGAGTCGGGGTCTCATAAGCGGTAAGACCCCACGGGAAAAGAAACAAAAATGAAGCCCCCTTGGCTCCAAATTTTACGGACTCCCGCGCTGGGAATGTGGCCTCCCGCAGGGGTGTGGGATGGAAAACAATATCCTGGGCCTCTGGGAGGGGTCTCATGTTGGTTGGTTGTAAGCACAAGAACCATTCACCATTCACCATTCACCATTCATATGTCTCTAATCCAAGCACGTTGGGTTCTTCTGGGTACCTTTTTTACGACCTCGAGAACTCGGGAGCAAACCACTTAGCGGAGGAGGGCGTCCCCGGGCAGGCTGGCGCGACAGGGCTCAGCGATGGCGACGGGCATACGGGACGAAGGGTTTGCGGTTCCTCGTTCCGCTGCGAAGTTGATGACATGAAGCGGCTGAACGCCGTAGCAGCATCGCCAGCGAGATTTGTCGAATATAAGTCCGCGAAAGGTACTGATAAACTCGCGGTACTGGGATATGTTCGCGGGGGAAATGAAGATGAAAGCCGTTCATAGGGATGACGAGGAAGATCACAACATAAGCCAACTGCGAGAGCGAAGACGAGGAGGACGACGAGGGAACGAATCCCTAATCTGCAAGAAGGTCGTCACAGGTATAACCCAATACGCGATCTTGTGCGCAGGTTGTTTCTACGCCTCGGGTAAGTAGGAATTTTCTTCCGGCTTCCTTTCGCCTGTTGTGTCCTGTACCGCGAATGAAGGAGGATCCGACGTGGCAGTTAACCCGCGAGTGTAACACCGGCCTGCCACGTGGTGGTGTCTACTAGATCATGATGACCTGGCAATAGGTTCGTACGCCTCGGAGGCGACGTCGGTGATGCAGCGCTCAACCGAAGCCAAACGGCTACCAGACCTCGCTGTCAGCAGCCCAGAGATTTGGGTGCGCAAATGATCAAAGCAGGCTCTACGCGATAAATTGACAGGGAGCTTGATTGATAGAGTGAGGGAAAGGACTTTGATAGATACAGACGGATATGATCATAGGCAGCAAGGAAGTTAGCGCCCTACCGAGAGACGGCAAGCAAGGGGGAACGAAGGCATTTTGCAGAGTGAGCGAACGCGCAAGCGAGCCAGACGGAGGGAGAAAGAAGGCGTCCCTCCCGGTGTACTCTCGCGATACGCTCAGACACACACACACACACACACACACACACACACACACACACACACA